GGCGGCAGCGGGGAGGCCCGGCTTCCTCCCCCCACCGCCGCCTGCCAGCCCGCCGGCTGGCTCCGAGGCGGCGGCGGCGGCGTTGCAGAGCGTCTCCTGCGCATGCGCAGGAGACGCTCTTGCACTTTCGGGGGGATTTAAACATCCCCCCGAATTTTTTTTTAACTTTTTGCATTTTTGTGCACACGTGGGGACTGGCCCACGTGTGCACAAACCTCCCCCTCCCCCCCACCTGCCCCCTCCGTGCTGATTTAGCGATCCGCACGGAGGGGGCAAGTTGGCTATTAGATATATAGATGGATCTCTGCTCCATATGCTTATCTAATTCCCTTTTGAAGCCGTCCATGCTTGTAGCCGCCACCACTTCCTGTGGCAGTGAATTCCAAGTGTTAATCACTCTTTGGGTGAAGAAGTACTTCCTTTTATCCGTTCTAACCCGACCGCTCAGCAATTTCATGGAGTGCCCACGGGTTCTTGTATTGTGAGAAAGGGAGAAAAGTACCTCTTTCTCTACCTGCTCTTTCTCATGCATAATCTTATAAACCTCAATCATGTCACCCCTCAGTCGTCGTTTCTCCAAGCTAAAGAGCCCTAAGCGCCTTAACTATTAAGAAGGGACAGTCAAATAGCAATGCTGATTTCTACCCAAAAAGAAACCAATCTTTCTACTGGCCCCAAATTCCAGGTTTGTCACAGAGATTCCAGACCACATGTGTAGATGTTAAACAAACAAACAAACAAACAAAAAGTGGACATGCTTGAGGGGTTCTAGTTAGCTGGCAGATGAAGGAAGATCAACAAAAGCCTCAACATCAACAAGCAGAAGGGTTAAAATAGACATACTAAAAACCACTGAGCACAAGGCCAGAAATATAGAAATACAAGCAGGGGACCTACAAGGACTTGCAGGGAAATTAAATTTCTCCCTTTCCCTGCTATTTTCTCTGTCCCTTCCTTCCCTGAATGCCTCCCTTTCCCCTACTTCCTTCTCTCCTTCCCAAACACCAGCCAACCTACCTTTATCTGCCATCTTGCCTTCAGTTGTCCTGCCTTCCCTCCCCATGGCAGCCTCTACCCAGGAAATCTATGGGTGAGTTAAGCAGCTTTAGCCAGTGGGGCAGGTCCAGCTGTGCTGTGGAGAACCCGCAAGGCCTTGCAGGGGCACCTCAGTTTCCCCTTCCCACACTATTTCCACTTTTCCTCTCCCTGGCAGCCCCATATCCTCACCTTTTCCTGCTTTTTTTCTCTTTTCTACTCACTACTCTTGTTATCTGACCCCTATCTTCAGCTACGTTTCATTTATTTGTTTCATTTATACCCCTTTCGCCACAATGGGGACCCAAAGCAGCTCACATCATTCTCCTGCCTTCCATTTTATCACAGCAACAACACTGACATATGTTAGGGTGAGGGGGTATGATTGGCCCATGGTCATGCGCCAAGCGTCCACAGCAGAATGGGGATTTGAACGTGCGTCTCCCAGATTCTAGTCTGAAACACTAAACACTACAACACAATGGCTTTCACGGGGTGTCTGCCGTTGAACAGAAGCAAGTAGCTGGGCCTGGGTGAATCATGCAAGTCAGGCGCTAGCAAGTCACGCAGTGGTTGCTGCTGGTGGCTTGTTGAGTCCTCTCTCAAAAGCCAAAACAGCCCTGGAAAGGGCCCTGCCTTTTACTAATATAAATCAAGTCTGAAGACTGGCAATACTATTGTGCTTGCTTACCCGTGTAACTCCACTGAAGTGGCATTCATTTCTTAAAGCCCCCCCACCCCCGATTCTTCTGCAAACCTGGGGCATTTTTCAGGTTTGAAGAAAGATCTGTCTTGCCTGTTCATGTCTCTAGTCTCTGGATCTAAGTGTCCATAGAGTTAGCCATGTTGAGACTTTATTTCCTCTGTAGCTAAAGGCAACTCTGTTCAACAACACTACGCTTCTATTGGTTTCAAGATGATAAAATAATTATGGCTATGGTTGTGTTGCTGGAGTTACTATTATTTACTTAGTTCATTTCTATCCTGCCCTCCCCCTTGGGGGAGATGGCCCCAAAATGGCTTACTTAATTCTCTTCTCCTCATTTTTACCTTACAACAACCCTGTAAGGTAGGTTACACTATGTGAGTTGCTGAGTGACCTTGGGTCAATTACCATGGTAGAGCAGGGATTCAGACCTTCTAACCACTACACAACACCACCTCTACAGAGATGAGATCATCTCTTTGTATTAAAACCACAGGCAAAGGAGCAGCTGTTGGATGAAACAACAATTTAAAAAATGGCAGAGCCTATAACCCCTTTTAAAAATCACTTTCCTACTGAATATTTTGTTTAAAAACATATTTTGCTTATTAAACAATACAGGAATTTCAGATTAGTAATATAAAATGTAAAAGAAATAACAGTTTGAAGCTTGCAGTCCAAATTATTCACCGTTGCTTCTTCAGACCTTGACAGAATATTAGACAACAGTAAAAACCTAGTAGCAAATATTTTCTAATAAAAGACAATGCAAAGTATTTCAATAGCGGGAGAAACTCAGCAAAAGGCAAAATGTGCAAGGTGTTTATGATTACAGATGTATATTATGCATCTCACCATTTATATTCACCCCCAGGTAATGACTGGCATATGCATACTGTGACAAATTCAACAACTCATGACTATGTAAGCTCTCCCCACTGCCTCCTTTTAATATTAGTGCCTTTCTTCAACGTTAGTCTTGGCCTGGCTTTAAAAAAATGGCACAACTTTACTAATAATCATGCTGAATAACTTTGGTTTTTACCATATGGCACAATTATTTGAAGTAATTTCTATATATCCTCCCCTTACTAAGGAGCTTGTGCCCACATAGCATAGGTGTTTCATAAGAGCAGCTGTGTCCTATTTTGTAACTCTCTTAAGCACGCAGAGATAGGTTCAGGGATGTTTGCTTACCCATGAAAGCAGTTTCACCTGTTGTAGCACTGTACACTCAGCAATCAGATTTGCAAACAGAGATGGCGTCTTTGAAGGTATACTTTCCCATTCATTAGGGCTATGGTACATCATCTTGCTTAGCAAAAGACTCATTCGACAACTTTATAGTACTTTCTTCAGATCCTCTAGGGCTGACACAATTTTGTTCCCTAGCAGGGTACCTGTGCCTTTCACAGCTACATGACAGGCAAACATTCAGCAGACGCACAGCTTTTAATTTCTGCAGAAACCTTATTTTCAGAGACTTTGCCAATCAGTCCTCTGCACCACTGAATAAAACAGGACACGAGGGGCCCCTTTACAACTAACAAAATTGATCTCAGCATAAGCTTTCATAAACCTCAGCTCACTCACTTCATCGGAAGCACGAAAGCAGCTAAACAGAAGTATGTATACACAAAATAAGAGGAAGGCCCTGACCTCAATGGCCCAGGCTAGCCTGATCTCAGAAGCTAAGCAGGACTCGCCCTGGTTTATAGCTGAGAAGACACCAAGGTAGTCCAAAGTCTCTACACCGAGGCAGGCAGCAGCAAACCACCTCTAAACAGCTCTTGCTTTGAAAACCTACAGGGTCACCCTAAGTCAGCTGTGAATGGAGGACACTTTCCTAGGGATGCCAGCCTCCAGGTGGGACCTGGGGTCCCCCCAGAATTAGGCTCATCTCCAGACTGCAGAGATCAGCTCCCCTGGAGAAAGTGTGTGCTTTGGAGGGTGGACTCTATGGCATTGTAACCTACTGAGGTCCCTGTCCTCTCCACGTTCCTTCCCCAAGTCTCCAGAAGTTTCCCAACCTGTATCTGGCAACCTTACCCTCCCCACCTCACCGGTAGTCAGAAGGGACCTGGCAACCCTACGCCAGGAAGGCGGCAGTGGGCAAATATTACGTTGTTGCTGTTCAGTCGCACAGTCGAATCAGAGTGCCTGGGAACTGCTCCCAACTTTTGATATACAAAGCAACACAAAACAGATCTATGGCAGAGTAAAGCATGACATGCAGATGCCAGACCAATATAGAGGTGTAGCTAAACTAACTGATCGGTGCCTTTGCGCACCTCAACGCGGCCCCCCACCCCATCCAATCAGTTTCCACCCCATCCCCGAGCCCTGCCCCAACCACCTCCTCGGCTGCCTTCCACATGAATATGCGGCCCTTGCTTCGATGTGATCACCCTCTCGCTCTTCCACGTCCCGGCCCCTCGGATGCCTTCAAGCTCTCCCTCCAGCACGTCCTTGAGCTGGGCTAAAGCAGACTGCGCCCTGAAAGGGCTGCAGGGGCCCAGAGAAAGCGGGGATCTCAGAAGCTGGCGGCACCACATCCCCCCGACTCGGAAGAGTTCGCGCTCCGCAAAGGGAAGCGAGAAAGAGAAGGAGGGAGGATACAGCCATGTGAAAGGCGGGGTGAGCTGAAGCTGCCAATCAGGAAGCTAAGGGTGGCTATGAAAGCGGAATGGCTTAGAAAGAGGGTGTATTTAAAGAGGCAGACTTCCTCGTCGAAAATACACTTTGCGGGGGTTTTTTTAAGGGGGGGGGGGGAAGCTTGAACAGAACAGAGGCAGCTAACTGCATACCCCTATGCGTGTCTCCTCTGTTGCATTAGGTTTACTCCAACCGAGCAAGCGTGCCTAGGATTAGAACCTTAAAGGCAAATCCTAACCATGTTTACTTAAATGGGGGTCCCATTTTATTAAATTGGGCTTACTCCGTCCAGATGTTAGGATTGCAACTGCAGTCCTAAAAACACTTTCCTAGGAGTAAACCCTATTTAATATACCTTAGTACTGGAGTTTGAATAAACAAGCCTAGAGGCTCAGGTGCGTTGACAAAGCAGACTGTGATTCATGGGATCTCACAATTAAAATATGCAAGGCCAGAAAACGGGCATACCTGTCTTCTGCCGTACTTCTAGCTGAATGATGGATGGACTGGATAGATGAATGGGGGAAAGGGGGATTTCCACATTAGAAACGCAGGCTTCTATTACTCCTTTATCGGGCCTATTTATAGTCTATAGGAATTACCATCCCAAATGTGAATTAAGTATATTACTATTTTCCAGTGCAGAAACGTTTGCCAGCATATAATGATCATCTTCCTAAAGTAAATAACTACTTCTTGCCCCTTATCCCCTCGTTAAACATCAAGCCATACACATGGTCATGGTAGCTAAATGTTGTTTAGATGACAGTGATCTTAAGAAAACTGCTCCTGAGCCAGAGGGAATTTGAGGTGAGCTGAGATGAGTGGTGCTGAGTTGCCAGGCCTCACAGATATTTTTTCATCAGTTGTCTTTTCTTTGAAGGCCACGTTCTTTAAATGGAAGTTGTGATGTCTTAAGTTTTAAAAACCTGCTATCTTTGCGTCTGTGCTTTTAAGCGCTTAGATGGGACAAGTTGGTGTTTGTTGTGTATGCATAGAGAGTGTACATGTGCTTGGGCTCGCACGTGGTCAGGAGCACAAGCGCAGCTTCAGGTTCCAACACAATAGCGGGCAAGGATCCTAGGACAGATCTGTCGGCCACCTCGAATCCAGCACCCGACCTATGGAGATTAGTCACCTTGTAAATAGCCTATCACAGGTGGTGGTGTGTGTGTGTGTGGGGGGGGGGGGGTTTGGGAGATACAAGCAGGGCTTTGGCCCTGGAAGTTTGTCTTGTGTTTTGCCAATAAACTATGAGCTGATCACTTACACGCATCTGAACCCAGTATATTATAGTGTTCCTGGTGGGAAATGTTCCTACTGGACCCACCTTGGCTAAAGGCTGGTGGGAAATCTTCCTGTGGCAATCCTATATAGTCAGAAACCATCAGGAAACTTATGGACAGAAGATCTAAAGACCTATTTAGATTTGTCTGAAAAAAATTCAAAGTACAGCATAAAAATTATAAAATAGTCTTGGGTAGGGTTACCAGCTCTGGGTTGGAAAACACCTGGAGATTTTGAGTGTGGAGCCCAGGGAAGGTGGGGTTTGTGGAGGGGAGGGACCTCAGCAGGGTATACTGCCACAGAGTCCACCCTCCAAAGCAGCCATTTCCTCCAAGGGAACTGATCTTGGTCTCCTGAAGATCAGCTGTCATAGGGAGAGATTTCCAAATGCCACTTGGGGGTTGGCATCCCTAGTCTTGGGACACCTTAAAACCTAAGTGCTTTATTGCGAGGTAAACTTTCGTGGACTAGCGAATATCTGAATAAATCTGTAGTCTTTAAAACACCACAAGATTATAATTTTGGTTGGTTTGCGCTCTGTGTGTGCGTGTGTGTAATAGATTTTGAAACTTCTTGGTATACTCATTAAGGATGTGAACATGGATGTTATGTGCTAAGCCTGAACTGTACTTACCAACAGACATAGCTTGGGGATGCATAACAATAGCTGGCTAGGATCCTAGAATGGACCAGTGGGGAAACAAGGAACTAGAGTAAACCAACCTCCGTCGACCAGCCCTCAACTGCGGGTTCCCAGATCTCAAGGACACCCTCCTCAACCAGTTTATCATGGGCATCCAAGAGCAGAAACTGCGCCACAAACTCATTGGCCACAAGAAGCTCATCCTGGAGAAGACGCTACGCGAGGCCACTGCATTCAAGAAGTCTCAGCGTGCCCGCCAGACTCACTCTGCGCACCAGGCCTCTGCTCACTCGGCATTGGAAGCCTCAGACGAGGAAGAAACGCATCAGGTTCATTGCCCAGCACACCGCGACTTGCAACCCACTGCCGCCGCCACCCACCCCGTGAAGACCGTTGGACCGGCTCCTTGCGCCAGCTGCGGAGATGACCACAAGTGGTTCTCCTGCTGTTTCCGTGATACGACCTGTAGGACCTGCGGCAAGACTGTTTGGTGTAGTGGTTAAGTGCACGAACTCTAATCTGGGAGAACCAGGTTTGATTCCCCACTCCTCCACTTGCACCTGCTGATGTGACCTTGGGTCAGTCACAAGCTCTGGCACAGCTGTCCTTGAAAAAGAGCAGTTTGTGTCAGAGTTCTCTCAGCCCCACCCACCTCACAGGGTGTCTGTCGTGGGGAGGGGAAGGGAAAGGTGTTTGTAAGCCGCTCTGAGACTCCAAGTGAAGGGCGGGGTATAAATCCAATCTCTTCTTCTTCTTCTTCTTCTTCATCGCTCGCGCCTGTCACTCCAAAGGCACCTGGAGACGCCCGACCGCCCACCAGGAATCAGCAGTTACACACAACCGCCGTCCACCAACATCAGGTACTGAACTTGCCCCGGAATGCCCCCGATAAAATTGAAGTAACTGTGTTGATTGAGGGAAGACCTTGCGAGATGGAACTGGACACTGGGTTCTCCATCTCCATCATCTTGGAAGAGACTCTATAGAGGCTCTGCCCACAGGGGGGTCCCCGCCTTAGACCCGCTGGCTTCATCCTCAGGGACTTCCAGAAGAACGAGGTGGCCATCAAAGGGTGGGGCAAATTTCATGTCCAATACAAGAACTTTAAGGGACTGTTGGACTTGTTGGTGGTGGAGGGGCTGCTCACCAGTTAACTGGGATTGTCGCGGTTCGCGCCCTTGGGTTTCGGAGCGACGGGTGCACCACATGTGGGTCTTGAACTTCAATAATGTGTGCGACGAGTTCCTTGCTGTCTTTGATGGAACTCTTGGTTGTTACACCAGCCCACCAGTCTCCCTACAGCTTAACCCGGCAGTGCGGCCCATCCGAATGAAGGCCAGGCGAGTCCTGTTTGCCCTTAAGGCCAAGATTGATGGGGAGCTGGATTGACTCAAGGGGTTTTGGAGCCCGTGTCACACACCCTCTGGGAGACCCCAATTGTGTCTCCAGTGAAGCCCAATTATGTAATCCCCAAATAGTTTTTGAAACATTTTAAAACCTTATAATAGTAAAGCAGCAACATTCCAAAGCGTTGCACCAGTACTTCATCATGTGACCTCATATGCTCAGTTTCAGTGCAGTCTATTGCTAGCCTTAGGGAACATAACACTATAACATTGAGAATACCTTCAGGTGGGTAGCAATGCTGGTTTTCAGTAGAAGAGCAAGAGTCAAGTCCAGTAGCACCAAGACCAACAAGATTTCCAGAATATAAGCTGAGAAGAGTCAAAGCTAAGGTTGCCAGCCTCCAGGTGGGGCCTGGAGATCTCCCGCTTTTACAACTGATCTCCAGCTGACAGAGTTCAGCTCCCCTGGAGAAAATGGCTGCTTTGAGGGGTGGACTGTATGGCATTGTACCATGCTGAGGCCCCTCCCCTCCCCAAACCCCACCCTCTCCTGGCTCCACCCCCTAAGTCTCCAGGTATTTTCCAACCCAAACCTGGCAAACCCTAGTCAAAGCTCCCTTCGTCAGACTCTCAAAATCTTATACTCTGGGAATCTTGTTGGTCTTTGAGTTGCTACTGGACTTGCTCTTCTACTGAAAACCAGCATTGCTACCCACCTGGAATTATTCAGCGTGATGTAGTGGTTAAGAGCGGTGGACTGTAATCTGGAGAACCGGGTTTGATCCCAACTCCTCCACTAG